AGTAAGGAGGAGAGTAGATAGCCTTGTCTGACTCCGGTCATTACAGGAAATGCTTCTGTCAGCTGACCTCCATGGAGCACATTGCACTGTAGTCCATCGTAGTAGTTCTGGATATTGCCTACAATCTTCTGAGGAACTCCATAGTGTCGACGAACTTCCCTTAATGTTCTCCTGTCTACACAGTCGAACGCCTTCTCATAGTCAATGAAGTTGATGTATAGTGACGAATCCCACTCAATTGATTGATCAACGATGATCTTAGTGCTGCAGTTAGGTCTCTGCACGACCTATCCTTACGGAATCCAGCCTGTTGATTTCGAAGTCAAGCTTCTACTGATTCTTTTGTCCGGTTTAGCAACACTTTGTTGAATACTTTTCCTGGTACTGCACAACAAACTGATGCATCTGTAATTCTCACATCCGCTCAAATCCCCTTTCTTTTGTATCTTTCAAGTCAGCGTTGTCAGCACTTGTTCTATCTCCCAAATCGTCTTGGATAATAGGTTATAGTGCCTCGATTCGTTAATCGTTTGTTTACTTAGATAACCGTTATAATTCTAATCTTTAAGGCGCATAAAGTCAGAAGACAAAGGATAGCAGCAACTACAGTTTAGTGGAGATGGCTGGGAAGCCAACTCGAGAGCGAAGCGAAAACAATGCGTATTGGAGATGGCTGGGAAGCCAACTCGATTTAAGCAAGCGTTATTCAATATTTATAGTCAGACAACAATGAGTGACAGACATACGATGAATAAGATACGAAGTGTACACATATATGCTCATATAAAAGTATGGTGAAGTTTAATAAGCAAATGATTAACAAGATCAAAATATGACTCATAATGGATAGGCGAATTGGCTTGGCCAGTAACTAGAATAAAGTATATGGGCTTAACATATGAACCGATACTACAAGGTGAAGCATGTTTGCAGTTACTTCTACGTCTGACTTCAGTGCTTCAGCTGGTATATCGTCAGGTCCAGCTGCTTTTCCATTCTTGATTTGTCTGATGGCCATCTTTAATTTCTCAATCGTTGGTGGAGTGACATCTATAGGGAGGTCTGTGTGTGCTACTTCGATTTTCAGTGGATTCAATGGGGCTTGTCTATTTAACAGTTCCTCGAAGTATTGTACCCATCTTTTCCTCTGTTCTTGTAATCTCAGTGATTGTCTTGTCTCTATATGCACTCTCTGTTCTGATAAATCGTCCTCCGTTTTACAATCCTGACATCCCTTCCCTAATCGGAACCTACTCCACCTTGATAAATATCAAAACTCCTTGTCCTTTATTACTGCATTCTCTCATCTGGAGCCCCAGATCACATGAGCTAGTATCAATTTAATCTAATAATTTATCATACCTCCATCTGTTTCACTACTTAATGTTAAGCATCGGTTATCGTTCATATACAAATGCCTTGCCGATCCTCGATTTCTTTTTCTCTCTTCAGAATCTCGCTCTGAGGGTGAAGCTAAGCAACTTCTGACATCTGGAACAAGCTCGACGTACGCGCTTTCTTAAGGTCATAGTTTGCACCAGGTGCCTCACAAGTCTTCTTTAAAACAACTATAAACCTAAAAAGCTGCATAACATAAATACTTATCACGACCGAAGTCGTTATACGATTTTTATCGAGATTGGATCTGGTATGTAACGTGAACGCGATTCCCCTTTGGAAAATATTTTGAAGAAAACAAGGTATATCTAAACAAGTGATCCACTATCAACTTTCATAGATTGTATTTACTGAACAACTCTGCTTGGAATGCATACTGTGAACCATTATAAGTTGTAACTTGTAGATCATGCCTGTAAAAATGGTGTGTACCTGCTCTCGCAGAAATATATTATTATTATTACTTGTCCTTGACTGGTCTCTCTGGTTTACTATATCTCCCTGCTAGTTTCTTCGTTGTATCATATGGTTGTTTCACATTCCCTTCTCTTGCAGCTTTTTCCACCGTCGTTGCTAGTTCTTCCATGTATTTCTGCTCGTCAGATTTAATGCTTTTCTTTACTTCCGTGTTTGCTTCTATGTATTGAACTTCTGTCTCGATTTTCTCTGATCCTGTTCGACCGTTGCTAATTACTGTCTTCTTGTTCTTCCTTTCACCAATCTTGTTCAGCGTTCCCATGGAGATCCATTCCTCTTCATGATGCTTCTTGCGACTCAGAGCCTACTGAAACATTAAAGTTAATGTTTCTTTGATCATTTTTCAGTTGTCCTCCATCGTAGTTTTCTCTTCACTTATGTACTTCTGTGTACTCTGCTTGCTCCTTGACTTTCTCTGCTCGTGTTTGACTGTTCTTAATCGCTGTCTTCTTTTTATTCCATTCTTCTATCTTGTCCAGGGTTCCCATAGATATCCATTCCTTATGATTAGGCTTCTTAGGACTTGGAACCTCCTGACACGTCGACGTTTGTGCTTCTTTCATCCGTTTTCGATTGTCCTCCATCGTGGTTTAATGTTTTTTCAGTAGATCCTGTAGAGCTTGGAATTTGTTGAAGGTTATCTTGAATCGGTTGATTTTGTTAGTATCTCTAAGGAAGGCTTTATTGAACCTTTGTAATGTTGTTCTCCCAGTTTTCCAATGTTTCTTTAGCTTTAGTTTCATCTTGGCCACGACCAGGTGGTGATTCGAAGCAATGTCAGCTCCTCTCCTGGTTTTTACTCTCTTCCAAAGTGTGGGATGCCGTGAAGTGATATTAGCCCTCATACCCGTAACTGCAGACGAGACCAAGTTGGTCCCAATAACTTTCTTATCTCCACGACTAACCCTTTTAAGGTCCCTTTATCACATCACACCTCCAGGGCAAATGATTGGAGTATGAGGGACGTTACTACCGGTTTCCTGAAACCACTCTCCGAAATAAATGCAGGAAATTTTAACGTCCGAACATTGTGCCAATGAGGACAACAGGCTCCTTTAGCTAGGACTTTAGAACCTCGCACCATCGGTGTTTGCTGCGTCTCCGAAACGCGCATACAGGATCCGAGTAAGGTCATTCATTTGACCTCGCCATGTCAAAATAAAGAACCAACTCGATTTATGCTTCGTGTATCTGAAGGCCCTGATGCCGCTTCCCACGGTCTCTCTGGCGTAGGTATAGCATTAGGTCCTAGGGCGGGACTAGCTCTTTCAGAATAGATCCCAGTAATCAGTCGTATGTACGCTGTCCTACATAAAGGATCACTTAGGACTAGGAAATATAGGGACACTCGTCGTCATTGTGTCATTGTAGATTATTTGTTGATACAAATGTCATCCATCTCGTTCTCTGTGGATAACATTCATTGTGACCCCCTCCTTCTTTGTTTTGAATTATGCTTTGATTATCCTGGGTTCATCAGATTCCCTTCCTCCAAGTGCATTTACTGCTTCTCTAGACAGCATTAGAGCAACTCCTTGAGTGTGTGTATCATTTTCTTCTACGTGACTGGAGTCGGTAGCATTCTCCCCGTGTCTAGTATTTGCTGTCCAGCTTGTGTCCAATGGGTTTCTCTGATTTCGAGTACTGCCAAGTTGTATCCCTTCATTTCCATTGATATTTGACTGGTCTTCCTGGCCTCCCACATTGCCCGGACGTTCCATGTTTCTATATTAGTTGTTGATCTGGTTGTCAGAAGGGGCATGTGCCTCGTGGATTCGAAGAATCTCGGCTTTCGTCATATAGCGTCACATTTTTCCTTCAATTCTGAGGGCAGATGGTTTGAATTATTTTTCCTGGTTAGCGTTTTCTTAGTGAGTTAGTTTTCTACTGGATGGGGTTGCCGACGCCATGCCCAACCCTTCTTTACCCCTGCTTGAAACTGGCAGCAAGTCTAGAAGAACTACAGGAGGAGTTTGGTCAGGTTGTGAAGTAAATAAATGGTGACTGCTACTCTAGATTATGTTAGTCGATTGGCCATACACCATTTTTGCCAACAGATTAAAATTGCAAACTTTCGCAATTTATATTAGCATTAGGCACATTATATAAGATATTTAAATAACCTTGAAAACTACTTATAAGCCAGGTTTCAAAACAAAGTGGCTCACTCAATCAATGTACGTTAAATTTGTCATTTCAAAGAATGCGACTGGTAAAAGATTTAGAATCTAGAATAACTTTATAAAAAGAACTATGAATAATTAGCAGGTACAGAGAGACCGATATTTGCGATCCGTAAAGCATGTTTTTGTTGTTGCTCATAACAATTACAGAACATTTGATCTTCGGTTTCAGATTTAGTATAATAAACAAAATAGATGGTATTAATTTCCTTGCCTCCTTCAACACTAAAACGTTCTGATTTTTTAAAAATCGAAATCTCAAAATATCAAAAATGTGAAGATGCCACAAGTATTTTACATACTTTAACTAGTTGCAGTTTTTATAATTGAATCGTGCCCATCCAGTGAAATCAAAAGTCAGAAGCGAGGAGGTTCGAAGATATAGGTGATAGATTATCAATATGTCAAGAAGTGACTGAACTAAACTGGCTAGTGGTCGCGTGCGAATTCGAGCACGGTTTTTCCACTTCTGGTCTAGTGGGGATGTGTGACCGAGCTCCATCAGATAGATGAGTGCATTAAAACTAATATAGTCAGAATCGAATGTCAATGACTTACAGAGACATAGATTTCGTGGATTTATCTGCCGCTACAATTTGTTGCGATCTAATAGTATGGAACTTATGACCTCTAACAAAACCTTGGCTGAATAAAGATAATCAAGAGTAATCTATCAAGGATGACGAGTTTATTGTGTTTTCGCAAATCACAGTTAAGAAACAGTGATGTAGTATTTACTTTTGCGTTCCCATCCTATTTTCGGGATTTAAAAATGTTATGTGGAAGTTTTTTTAAACAGAATAAAGTTTTTCATGTACTCGTGAAATTAAAAAAACAGGTAAAGATATTTAGCTACACTATTTCAAATAAATAGTATCTCAGGGCCATATACAAACAATAGTTTGTTCAAAATTTTAAAATGAGTAGGAGTTAGCGCTCGTGATGGACAGAAAATCATCAGTTAATCGTAAGTTCTCGAATGTTTTCATAGAAAATTAAATATTCAAAGTAATTTCTCTAAATTCAATAAATACGTGTCATCAGTTATGAGGAAACACTTCAATAACAAAAAAACTTTTTTTCACTGAAAGCACACACTTTATTCCTGTACATGTTCAAATTTTGGTCATTTCGTTCGTTTTCAAAAGGGAGAGACAATAAATGCAATGCTTTTTCAACAAATACAGAAGTTTTTCTGTGTATAATTACTTGATTCCATGCTTTGTACGTAAGATTACTTTTCTGTCATGATTGACACTATCGTAAGAGAATGCACCTCACCATAAACATTTCCAGCTAAAACTATCAAAATTCAAGTTCTTTCAAAAAATGCTTGGCCTGCGTAGATTGCTGCAATTGTATGGAGAAGTAAAGATTCTTTTTCAGTCATTCATGTAAATGCAAAGTAATAATCAATTCCTGATGATTTAAAAACTGTAAGATACTTAATTGTTTACTTTGCAAGCTAATATGCTTACTTTGGACGTGTGCTACTAGTTATATGAAATTTCTTCATAGCCTTGATGGACTGGCTATAATCTGCTTAATGTTCTTCAGCAGGAATGTATTCCTTTAAGTCAATAATTGACCTAAAATATAAAAATACTGTACTCCTTACTTCATACACTCATAACCAACACATCTGTAATTAAATTTCGAAACTTGAAATATGAAAGCGTGGTTGGTTTTGCAAACATTGGAATTAAGTTCTCAAATTTTAGAAAGACAAAGATCAATAATTCAGTCTTCAGTAATAAGGATAGGAGGTCTAGTGACCTATTTTAATCCTTGCAGTTTGTTACACTGTGGAGGTCCAATCTCGTCTTGAATATACCAACAGAAGGTGCTGATATTACATGTTCTGGTAGAGAATTCCAGTAATTCACTACTCGGTGCGAGAAACGAAACTCCAGACGTAGACGATTTGATCTCGGTTTTGGGACTTTCTTTGAATGTCTTCTCAAATGATCAGCCCTAGACGGGAGGAAAAGATAGGACATGTTAGTACCAAGGCCATCGTTCAGGATACGATATGCCAATATTAGATCACCCATTATTCGCCGGTAAGATAACGGAAGTAAGTTGAGGTGTCTCAGTCTGTCTTCATAAGATAAGCTAGATAGGCCTTTTACCATTTTTGTCCCGCGTCGTTGGACTCGTTCCAACATATCCGCCTCATATTTGAAACAAGGACTCGCTGCTTGAATCCCATATTCCAAATGTGGCCGTACGAAAGTTGGGTATAATAATCTAAACATTTCCCCATCCAGATACCGGAAAGATCTACGAATAGACCATAATACACTATAGCCTTTTGCAGCAGCAGCCTTACAGTGACTAGTTGAAGTAATTTATTATTTCAAGTTGCAAAAACTGTTTCTTAGCCAATGAACATAATCTTTCAAAATGATATACACAGCAGTGATACTTTTTCTACAGTCGACACTGTAATGCGGAGCAAGGTAGTTGTCATGTGAAAATGAGAGGTTTCTTGTTCCTGATTTTGAAATAACTTTTATGTTTTGCCATCTTTTATGGCATAATATATATATATATATATATATATATATATATATATTACATCATAGCGTCAGTTTTCATACAACCAGTTTCTAGATATGCTTTTTCATAGAAAACAGAGAACATAGAACTTCACAATATCTAACTGAGAAGTTTTTATACACTTTCACATTGAAAAGGGTGATAGGCTAGGTGTCCTGTGTTAGTCCTGAAAATGGTGATCTCTCAGTTGATCCGAATTTCTTTTGAAGGCGTCGACAGGTGAAGCTTCAATCACGTGTTCAGGTATTAAACTGTATTCGTTGGTGATTCGATAGGAAAGTCGATAGTCAGTTGACGAGTAATTTGTTATGGGCTTGTGAACTTTCTTAAAGTGTCCTTATTAATTCTCTGTTTTGGAAGACAAGAAAAGTGATGGCATACCAAATGTACATTTGTAATCCAGTAATTTAAGAACTGTGATCAAGTCACCTCTGGTTCTTCTGTATAACAAGGGAAACGGGTTTAGTTTAGCCAGTCAATGATCATACGGGGTCTTTGCGATTCCGTTTATCAATTCAGTTGTGGTTCTTTGAACCCTTTCCAACAGCTCACTGTCTTTTAAGGCATGGGCTAGCCGCTTGTGTGCAGCACCCGAGTTTAGGGCGAACGGACACCGTATAAAAGGTCAAAGGGGTTTTGGCGTCAGCTTGTCCAGAGGCTCTACGTATGGACCATAGGGTTATGAAGCGTTTGGTGACTGTCGCACGACAGTATCCAGTGGTTTTCAAGTCTTGATTAACAATGACTCTTAGGTCAACATGTGTATCGACAACAGGTAGCTCATTGTTATACACTGTGTATATATATGTACCTTGGTGACTAATTTGCGTCATAATGCACTTGAAGGCACTTGCCGACAAATGCCAGATTCTAGAACATTTGGATAATTTCTCCAAGTCATTTTGACGCTCTAAACTATCATCTTCACATCCCATATCTTGAAAACATTTGCATATAACAAAACCGATGATGACAGGAGACGAGGAAGATCATTTACATACAGGATAGACAACATTGGTCTCAGGACTGTACCCTGAAGTACTCTTCTAAGTACAGTTTCCCAGCTCGACAACTTCGATTTTACCCATACTCTTTGTCGATGCTCAACTAGGAAGTTGATTTTCCACATACGTAAACTGCTTCAGCGTCATTCAGCCTCGTAGTCTGAAATATTGCCACTTATTCATTCGGGAAGCGACTAAGGCCCTACAGGACTGAAATGTTTACAATTGACTGATCACTGAGTCATAACCATTGTCATATTTTTTAGTCCTTAAGTTCTGACGTGATAAAATCTATTAAATGAGTACACTAAATAACAGACAATTTAATTTGCGAAATCGATCACTTTATCAATTTAAAATGGCTTAAAATAGACAAGAATTATAGAGTAATGATTGACGGTTTTATTTCGATTTGTAACCATTTATTATTTAAACTTAAACAGGAATATCCTATGATGCCACCACGTATTATACAAATCTATGAGTAACTGAAAGGGAACTAAGTGACTCGTAGTTTCACTTTGATTTAAGTTATGGTGTAACTCAGTCTGTTTAGAAATATCATCTGTGAACCCATGATCTTATTGCTCTTAAAAATGTTAAAATTTCTGTATTAATCACTTTCCAATGTGTTAAGATATTTTAAACCTGAATGATACTTAAATGTTGTATCACATCTTTTGAGAGATAATATACATTAACTGTTGAATTAGTTGACTGTATGACCCAATAACTAACTTGCATCATAAAAGCTCTATTAACTTAAAATCCTATTCACTTTTACTCAATATGTATATTGAATAATTACTGTGCAGGAAATAAATTATGACAATTTGCACATGTGAAAATTTTAACTGTCAAGTGAAATGATAAACAGTATTGTTCTATTAAGAAAGGAGATTAAGTCTTTCGCTGTTTGTATCCGATCTTTGATGTAATTCTTATGTTTATATCTGCAAATATGACATACAAAAAGTTATTTGTTCCGTATGAAATTATAGTGAGACTAATTTGAAATGAATATGTGTTTACTGATGATAGTTTATTCAGAAAACTTTTTTAAATGAAAGTAATTCGTTTTGAATGCCATTAGATTAAGATTATGGGTGTGAATTCACATTAACACTTCTTTTTAGTAAAGTAAACAACACATGCGTGATTGAATTAATGGTCCTGTTCGAAAGAATCTTCTGACAATTTAGTCTTCAGTTTTTCACAGTCTACCGTAGGTGCATTAAAGTCTCTTAAGATTAAATATCGACTAATTTTGACTAGGTGTTGAAACCGTCTAGGAAGACCTTGTTCATCTCATAGTTTATACTGCGGTAGACCGAAACAATCAGCAGCTCTCGTCCTTTGTATCTCAAGTGGAAACTAACTAATTCACACGTTCCACTTTCATGGGATATGTGATAATTAACGGTGAATGGGATAGTAATTCCAATTAATAGAGCTGCTCCTTCCCTAAGCTTCTGGGTTCTGTCCACTCTTACCGATATGAAGCTTTCGAAATCAGGTTCCCAACTGTTTACAGACTGAGTAAGTCAGGTTTCTGTGATGGCGACTCGATCCAGCTTGGTGGAGTCTATCTGTACACCTATCTCCTATCGCTTGTTGAACAAGCTTTGGACATTCGTGTAACATATCAGAAAACTATTTAATTGGCTTCGCGCTACACCCAAAGTGGCTTAGGCATCATACTCTGTCGAAGCCTCACTACTCTAAAATTTACAATTTTTGGGTTCTTTGTGTCAGCATCTAACCTCAGTTTTAGTTCTTTCTTGGCCTCTCGTCTTTTATACGATTCGTGAGCGGTAAGCATTTACGGGTAAAAATCTCTGACCCCTTATGTTCATGTCCATTCTGCAGAATTAATTCCTTTTCACTATGAGATTTAAATACCACTTTTAGCAGTCTTGTTTGGTTATTTTCAAGTCCGCTTGGCTACTTAGTTTATAAACTTTCAGCAAGTTGATCCCAGAGATATTCTGACGCATTAGCTGGTTTAGCAGATCTTTTATCAACCTAATGTCATGATCAAAGCAAATTCTGTATTCTGAACTTTCACTCTCCTCAACTCTGAATGACAACTGACCTGTCATTATGATCAGTCTTTAATTTCCCAGCTACTGTTTGAAGGACTGTCTTTTCTTTAACGAAACTAGGTCGTTTCTTATTCTTGATTTGTATCTACTCACCAGCTTTCACTGAAGTAGCAATCGCAGTCGTGTGACTCACACTGTGAGATCTTGAATGATTGTCGATGACTTGGGTAATCAGTCATGGCCTTATGATTAAGTGTGACAGTTCAGAATACGTTTGTCAGTTTTGATTTGGGTGATGTGTAGTTCATACTTGTGTTAGTTCATATTTCATTTGAAATTAAGAAGTTGGAATTAAG